ACTTACTTATCGAGTATAACCGAAAAATTTTCAAATTTAAATATGTTGGAAACGAAGTATGCCATACGAAAAAATTGTATTCCATTTCCGACTTTTTATATGTTGCATAATTTCGTGTTCGGTTAGTACAACCAAACGAATAATAATTCATTCTAACTCATTTTTTTTGTATGTGCATATATGCAATATGTATACGTACAACGTATAGGGTGTCCCATAATTAATGATGCACCTTTTGTGGGTAGGTAAAGCAGATTATATTTTAAATAAAAAAGTTTTTTTATCTTTTTACGATTTTTTTGCAATAGTTAATGAGACGTTAATTTATAAAAATCCATGAATAAACATGTGTAAAAACCGAACCAGCATTACGCGCATTTAAGATTGTTAAGAGTGCAGAAATTATTGATTATTATAATCCGATCCCATTTACAACTTTTTTACTAACTTTATTAGTCTTGTTTGTGGGCCTTAAAAAATTGATATTTTTCTATGTTGAATAATTAATTATCATCATAAACTACATCAATCAAGCAAAAAAAGCTTATTTATGATTCCATTTAAAAAAAATGACAATTATTTGTGATCTTTAAATGGCTCCAATGACTTTAAACGGAACGAATGTCAGGCTAATAGCATTGTCTTTTCTTTAAAATTTTAAAACTTTTATGAGAAATATTTCTTTATATGAAATCAAGTTTAAAAGATGTATAACTATTTCTCTCCATTAAAACGGGACATCTTACATGCATACGCGCATATGCACACACACACACACGTACGCATACACATGACACAGTATCCACATAAATTGTAATCCTATATCTATATATGAGTTAATGAAAAATATCTTGTAATATCTTGCAGATGTATGACTATTCATTAGATATGTGGTCGTTGGGTTGCATGCTTGCAAGTATGATATTTAGGAAAGAACCGTTTTTTCATGGACACGATAACTATGACCAACTAGTTCGAATTGCAAAAGTGCTTGGGACTGAAGAACTATTCGAATATCTTGACAAGTATCACATTGAACTAGATCCTCGTTTCAATGACATTCTAGGCCGACATTCGCGTAAGCGTTGGGAACGTTTTGTACATTCGGAAAATCAACATTTAGTATCACCCGATAGTTTGGATTTTCTTGACAAACTCTTACGCTATGACCATTACGAGAGATTAACTGCTCGTGAAGCAATGGAACATCCTTATTTTTGTAAGTATATTATCAGTATATATCGATAAGATGTAGTTTTTATGTAACTTTAAGAGTTTACTTTTGCATTATCTTACAAGAAAAAAAAATTAGCGTTAATATAGATATACATTCATCTATATCTTGAACATAACCATTGTATCAAATATATTATCTTGTGTGCATTATACATATGCATGCATGTAATTATGTTTTTTTTTTTTTTTTTTCTATTTTAGATCCCATAGTAAAAGAACAGGGTCGTTTGGCTATGGTGTCATCATCACCTACTCCCATGGCAGGCTCAGTGCCTGTAGGTGAGTAGCGGCCCAGGTAATGTCATCATCTTAATCTACCTCTAATTCTATACTAATTAATATAATTATAATATAGTTAACTTATATATTAAAAATTTAATACTGTAAAATATATTTCTTTTATTTCATCGAAATATGTGTTCTTATATATGTATCTTTTTTCTAAAATTGTTAAGCTCAATATTTTATATCTATTATTATGATTAAACTTAATAATAATTAATAATATAACAAACAAAATAAAACGAATACGTTTGCATATAAATTTTTATGCCTGAATGAACGATGTGCAGAAATGTAATCGCAAATATTATTTGCACTAGATTGGAATATAACCTGTATTTAAGTAAGATCAAAGAAATGTAAGTTGTATATACATTACAAATAGAAAATATTGATTACACATATTGTTTATTTGTTATATTAGCTAATTTCATATGTCAATTACCGACCAAATATACAT